GGGTATTGTGTGACCCGAAGATTTCGCCCAGGATGAAAGGCAAGTTCTACCGATCCGTAGTCAGACCTGCTATGTTATATGGGGCAGAGTGTTGGGCGGTTAAGAAGACTCATGTGCGTCGTCTGCATGCGGCGGAGATGCGGATGTTACGATGGATGTGTGGGAAGACAAGGTTGGATAGGATTTCGAACGAAGTTATTCGACGTCAGGTAGACATGGCGCCGGTGGAAGATAAATTGCGGGAAGCGAGGTTGAGATGGTTTGGTCATGTGAGACGGCGGGATGCTGACGCCCCTGTATGGAGATGCGAGCGGATTACGGTTTTCGGGGGAAGGGGTAGACCTAAGAAGAATTGGAAGGAAGTGATTAGACAGGATTTAGGACTTCTCACCCTGACTGAGGATATGGCTTTAGATAGGAACCTTTGGAGAACTAGGATTAGAGTAGCTGGTTAGGAACTCGGTGCTATAGAGGTTTTTTGTAGTGTGTTGTGTTTGATTGGAATCTTCTATTAATGCTTGTAAAACTTTCTTTTCATTGTACTTGGTGTTTTATCCATGCTATACTGTATACCCTATCATATTTTTTGTGCAGGTTGAGCCGGGGGTCTCTTGGAAACAGCCTCCCTGCTTCCAAGTAGGGGCAAGGTCTGCGTACACACACCCTCCCCAGACCCTACTGTAGTGGGATCCAACTGGGTTGTTGTTGTTGTTGTATATTATTTTTAAACATTTATTAGTTTATAAATATATTTAATTTATAGTAAAAAATGCAACAAATTGACCAAAAAGGTAACTCTCTTTTTTTTAAACTAAGAGCATCAACAATGGCAAGGAAAAAATGGAATGTCACACGGTGACATGGAACATTTTAACCAATAAAAAATAGTCCAGTCAGCATGTGGCAAGTGAATGGAGTGACAAGTAAAACAGTGGCAAGTCATTATTTTTATCACTTCTTACATTTTTTAAATGTTTTTTAAACATAAAAAAATATTTTTATTATTTATTCTATTAAAAAATTATTCTACTTTCTTGTACATTTTTTTTTCATAAAAACTTTTTAAATTTAAAAAAAACAAAAAAATGAAGTGTGGAGCGTCACACTCATGTCTCACCAAGCAAGGCATTTTGGCCTTGCCATACCATGACATGAGTGGAAAGAGCTGATATGGCAGTGCAAGGCATTCCTCTTCCTTGCTACTACACATGCTCTAAGGGGGTGTTTGTTTTTTCTGCAGGAAAATGTCTGCAATCTGCGGACCACTACTGTAGACATGTGCAGGAGAAGTGGTGGACCGAAGGTCTGCGGTCTGCAAGAAGAAGACTGTTTGTTTTTTAATGTCTGTAAACTACTATATAAATTAATGGTGGTAGTGTACAGTGGTGGTGTATGGACGATTGTGGTGGTGGTGGAGGGTGGTGGTGGACGTTGAGGGCGGTGGTGGTGGACGGTGGTGGCGGTGGCGGTGGTGGTGGACGACGATGGTGATGGACGGTGACAGTGATGGTGGACGGTGATGGACGGTGGTAGTGGTGGACGGTGGCGGTGGTGGTGGACGACGGTGGTGATGGACGGTGACA